AAAAGAGGGGCTAACAAAAATCAGATTAGCCCCAGGGAAAAAGATCTACAGCCTCTGCCTGTCCTACCTGGGCAGTGCAGAAGTAGCTTTAGGTTGCCCAGGGAAGCACTCCTAGAAGATGTTAGATGTCTGGTTCCAAATGTTGTGCCTGTAAAAGCTACAGCCATCATCATTTTTTTATGATGTCAACAATAACAAATTACATTTGTATAATGCCTTTCATGCCGGAAAGACGTACCAAGGCACTGAACAGTTAAGGGTTTGCACTCAAGCTGGGGGTTAGAATCAAGAAAGGTAGAGGGTAGAGGGATATTGACTCCTTTTAAACTCCTGGAGTAAATTCCCTGGTATTTCTCTGGCGCCATGTTCTATTATTGTGTGTCAAAGTGCTGACTAATTCACTGGACCAAAAGGCTCAAGGGCTCATCCACTTCCAGAGAACTATGGACAAACAGAAAGGTAGCAACAATGATGTGCCGCTGCTGGCTTCCCCAGGGTCTTGGGCTGCTTGACTGCGCACATGTGGAGATGAATGTGCCATCAGTCAAATGGGTGACATACTCGAGAGGTTTCTACTCCCTATATGTACAGATGGTCTGTGACACTTACATAAGGATCATACATCAAGGATCAGAAGCTCTGTAAATGTTCTGATCACTGGGCTATTTATTAAGATATTGAGCACCCCTCTGAAACATTCTCCTAAGACTTTACTTCACAATGTAGAAATACTAGCAGGACCTTTACAACAACAGGCACATAAAACCACGCAATTCATCATGGAACATATGCTTGGTGTTTGCAATCAAAGATTAGGTGGCTCGATTGCTGTGGCTATGAAGGATTCACGAACATTCACAGAGAATGTAGTAAAATTATTATTGGAGACAATGCAAAACACATGCAGCAATAACTCATTTCGATAGAGAGCATCATCTGCCCTATGTCATGATCAGACAAGTCTTTCTCACTGAAGACATAACACCATTTTTTCCATTGTACACATACACTCTGCTGCACTTTCTTAAGTGCCAAAGTGTGACCTGTTGAGTCAGTGTATATTAACAGCTGCAGGTGTTGGTTCCTACCCTACACTGTGAAGATTGCCTCAGTTTCAGCGGCTTCTCTATCTACGCAGCTATATTAAGCAAAATTCCAATCAGCCCTGTCAGTTAAGTTGCTTCCAAACCTTTTATGGAGGTCAAGTAGCTTGGTAATGGCTTGTTAATGTTCTGTACTGCAATCTCACTGGGCTTTGCACTGAATTAATGTGTTTGGTTATTGTAGTGGTAATGCACCCTGGAGTTTATATAATATGTCAGGATGCAAATTGTGACAAGTGATAAGGTCATGTTTTTCTTGTGTGCTATCTGGGATCTGTTATTTCAATGAACATATCCAAGCTCTGCAACTAAGAGCATCAATACAATATAATGCAATTTACATTTATAAATTATAAATACCTGTCATGTCAGAAGGATGCCTGGGACATGTTTGGGACATATGTGCATCGACTGTCAGGAAGGTGGAAGGCGAACTAGATGAACCTTGGTCTTTTTTCATACAGCATTTCTTATGCTCTTATGCCGCAAAGCACTTGACATTGCTGGCTGCCCCCTGAGCTGGGAGTGAGAGTGATGGGGTTTGCAGGGGAAAGATGACTGAAAGCATGGTCAAAGGATACGTTGTGTGATAAACCTTGAACAAGATGAAGGAGCGAGCGAGATGGACTCTGGTGTTGAGTTCCAGAGGGTAGGGCAGAATGGCTGAAAATCCTCAATCCCTAAATATTTGGTTAAGGGTAATGAGTAACTCTAGTAAAATTCTTTTAGAATTTTTGGGATGCTGGATAATGGGATTCAATCTGTGGTATTTCTTAATGAGATTCCTTAAAATAGAATCCTGTTAGAATTCCCATTGATCAGTAGGAATTCTGCTCTTGAAGCAGATTGGATTCAATTGCATTTCACTGGTGAGAGTGATGTAAATTTGCTTCCTGAAGAAGTCTCCATTTGAACAATATCATAAATAAGACCCCCATTATACAAAAACTGGGGCTATGTAAATAGCTATCCTACAGTCATTTGGAAAGTTTTCATTCTTGGGTGTCTGACACATGTGTATGTATGTTGTATTAAGTAGTAAGTAATTATTTATGTATGTATGTATGTATGTATGTATGTATGTATGTATGTATGTATGTATGTATGTATGTATGTATGTATGTATGTATGTATGTGAGTTCCATTTACACATGGTCATTTCCCTTTGCCTGGAATGAAATGCACGTAATCTCCCTGGAAAGACGAACCCTGCTTATCTAGTTCTGGAAAGTATTCGGCACAGGTTGGCGAGCGAGCACCAAGGCTTGGGGATCCCAAAGAGTGCATTGGAAGTACTCTAGGGTCTAACTTGACTCAACTCTTAATATGACACAGAAAATAATAATAACTATCATATATTGAAATCTAATATATTACAAATAGTAAATAATCAGAATCTAAATGATCAGGCAAATTGGAAAGTTTAAACTATGTTGAATGAAAGTCAGAGATTGCAGGCACTATATAGATGCAATGTTGTTGTATTGCTTAATACAACAACAACATTGCATTTATACAGTGCCTTTCATATCAGGAGGATGGTCCAAGACACTGTTAATTAATTGTCCATTAATGAGTGATCATTGAATGCCCTAGAACTTGCAAACACAAAATTGCTTGTCATGTTTTTTAACAGCAGGTGGCACTGCACATCAATTCAAAGTTAATCTCTTTTATGTAGTTTCACAGTCCCACGAACAATTCTCTCTAAATCCATTCAGATGTAACAGTGCTGTGGAATTTGCCTCTAGTCCTGAAATGACCTGGAATATATATATATTTCTAATCCTAAACAATATGAACAGTATAAGATACCGAAAGGCTATTGGGGAAGTCATTTGATTTGCTGTCTACCACTAAACTCTGTATGATTTGCAACTGTCATACGCCACGATTTTATGTCTGGACTAACATATAAACACACTGTAAATATGTTTTTAATAAAAGATACAATGAATAATGTAAAGTGCAGAAAGAGCCCTTGTCCCTGGAAATCATTATTTTTTCATGAAACATAAAATGGAATTCATTTTTAATATGCCAGAAATATTCAGTACAATTTGCCCATGAAAATCAGAAAGCTTAGGTTTTAAGAAGAGTTGTTCATTTCATAGAGAGTGGTTATGGAAAGTAATTGATTGGTATAATAATAATCCTTATATTTTATATAACGCCTAATCATATTGTTGAGATATCTCGAATTGCTTCACATGATATTTATTGCGAAGTGTCATGACTTATTTTTAGGGGATATTAGCCACCAGGAGAAATTTCCTGCAAATAGTGCCATGGGATCTTCAGTATCCAACCCAGCAAGCAGACAGAACCTCAGTTTAATATCTCATCCAAAGGTTGGCACCTCCAACATTGCAGCACATCCCCAGGGCTAGATTGGAGTGTCAGCCTGTGAGTTCAAATTCCCAGTGTGGGGCTTGAACCCATAACCTTTGACTCAGAAGGTGAGAGTTCTAACATCTGAGCCAGGCTGACACCTGAGGTACTCCTGCAGTGACAAGAGAAGACTAAGGTCTAAATGTCATCTGGAAAAGAATCTAAAAATGAATATGCTATGCCAGAATGTATTAAATACCTTATTTTCAGAAATAAATTGGATAGAGATAGGAAAAATTGAAACTGGTCTCAAATTGATACTGCTTGCTGACCACCCAATCTCCAAACTCCACGAGATCCAGATTATCCGGGACTCTGCATCCTGTATCCTCTTCCGCACTAGACTCTGCAAGCCCATTGCTCCCATCTTCACCTAACTCCATTGGCTTTATATCTCCCACTGGTTCGAATTTAAGATTTTCTCTATTACCTTGAAATGCCTCAGTGGTCTTGCCCAATCCTACCTCTGCAATCTCCTGTGACGCTACACCCCAGCTATGCCATCTCTGGCTTGTTTCTTCCCTCCATCTTACACCTCCCCCCCTACCCCCCACCACCACTTGTTCTACCTCATAATTTTGGTGAGTTTTCAACCATTTCAACCCCGCCCACTATGCTCTCTTTTGAATTTCTTCTGCTTTCTGCCCTCTCTGCTTTCAAGACATTTAAGAACCTATCTCTTTGATTGTGCTTTCAGCCACCCACCCTGCACCCAACTCAGGCTCCTATTCAGTCTTTGTAAAGCACTTTGAGATGTTCTCCTTTCATGAAAGGCACAATGTGACTTTTTTTTCTCGTGTGTGAGGTTTGCCCCTCTCCCCCCTCCCACCCACATTAGTTGAATTTCCCTTTATCAAAAAGTACAAGTGCCTTGACCCAGCCCCATCGTGTCAATACCACATACACAACCCTATTCTAACTCTGGGCCTCCAACCACCAAACGGCAGTGGTGTTGGTTTGTTTTGCAGCGATTACTAGGTTCTGGAGACTGGCAAGCGCGCATATAAAGAGCGGATGGATTAAGTTGTTAAGTAGCAATGAGCTGGTTTGGCTTTTATGGATCTCGATTATATTAGGGGAGTGTTGAAGTAAGATGTTGTTTTGTTTATGATCTCTTAGTCTTGCAGAACACAAGTCTAGCTCTAACGCTAGGTCACTACAAAACTGATTTAATAATAACAACAATCATGATCCTTGCATTTGATATAGGGCCTTATTACGTCATTGAGACGTCGCAAAGCACTTCACAGAATAGATGGAGGGATTATTACCTCCGGAAAGCTATCCGCCAATCGTACATAAAGCACATAGCTTGGGGATTGAGTATGTGCCAGATTCGCATCCTCATGACCAACAGTGCCAACCAGTTGTTGGCGGGGAAAGCGTGGGTCTGAGGACCAAGTGTGGGAGGAGAAGTGGGGCAGCAGATGGCAGCAAGAGTCAAGCAGTTCACTCGGTCAGTCATCGCAGACGCCTTGGGGGAGGAGAGGGGAGGGGAGAGCGGGGAGGGAAGGGTTAAGGCGTGATGAAGCTGGTTGGAAACGAGCTGAGGTTGGAGTGCAGGGAAGGCGGCTGCTGGAGATGCAGAGATAGAGAGAGAGAGAGAGGGTGGAGGAGGAGCAGCAGCATTAAATATGGACGGCCCTGGAGTGGGACTGCTGCAACCAACCGTCTGCTCTCTGTAAAGACCAGAGAATAATGTTACACATTTGCAGATCCGCCGCTTTACTGCTCTGTTTACTCGGCTGCAATGTGTGGAAAGCGGTTACAAAAACCTTACGCGACCAGCATGCACAAGGTAAGGGAGGGGAGGGAGAAGCATGTATATATATATATGTATTTTTTTTTTGCACAGGCTTTGGTACGTCCCTTCCCTCCGTTATTGTCATTGCAGAGAGAAAAAAACATCTTTGGGAGGGCTGTGTGTGTGTGTGTGTGTGTGTTGGGGGGGTATCTGTGCTGCAGGATCTGGCAAATCGCAGCTTTGATCCTTGATCCTCTGCATTTTGTTGGGGAAACCTTCTGGGCTTTGGTTTAAAGCTCCTGTTGTCTGAGCTGGAAAAGGCACAAAGAGGTGTGGGCTTTAACAGCTTGCTTTCTGTGAGGCAAGGGGAAAAAATATTCCGCCCACAAAATATACAGTCAATTAATTCACTTTGCAATATAGCCTGTGAAGCGCTTTGAGATGTTTGAACGGTGAGCTACGGTGCTAAATCAGATGCAGGGATTAATATTATGATGATGATTATTATTATAACCCTGTGACGGAAGGGAGGGAGGGAGGGAGGGAGGATGCTGCAAGGGAATCATTCCAATCCGGGAAGTTTCCCAGTCGCTGCAATGATTTCACTTTTGTTTCCTTTTTTTTATTGTTTATTTTTTGTTTCCGTGAGATCTGCCAAAGAAAATACTGCGCTACGAAGGTTGGCTTGAGATGTGCATTGCCACATAAGCAAATTGTTGCATTGTTTGAGTGGGATTGTAAGTGTGTGTTTGAAATGAAGTTAACCTGTGCATGCTGTAAACACAGGATGCCCTTTACTATGCTAGATAGAGGACCATAGCCGCATTCATTAACCCTCCTTCCTTTAACTGCATTTCGTCATGCAGAGATTCAGGTTAGGCTTTTAAACATTAATGACCTGCTCCAGTGCCTTGTTAACCCGAATCATTCCCGATACTGTTCTGATTGCATCATCGTTTGGCAGTAATCGTGTATTTTGAAAATATTGTACTGCATATTTGTGATTGTTTGTCTCAGATATAATGCACTGTGTTCTTAAGCCTTTTGAAGAAAAGCAATTTTAAACTGCATTTTAAACTGATATGGGCGTGAGATGCAGTGTCATTAGATTTATCTGGATGCGTTTTAAACACCATGTAACAATAATATATTTGAGTCATCTTGTGTATTACAGTGTTTAGATAAGTTTTAGAGACTGGCATATATAATGCATATATAGAGCTTAAGCGCTCTGGAACGCTACCCTGTGTGAGTAGTGCTATATAAATGCAAGTTGTTGTGCAGAAATTGGATGAAGTACAGTGTCAGTCTTCATTTATATTAGTAGAAGATCCTGTGGTTACCTAACAACAACAACAACAACAGCAACAATGTGCATTTAAATAGTACCTTCTCCCAGGATAGAATCTTGGAGAGCATATATCCAACTTGGTTAAAGTCCAGCATCGTTTGTACTACAGTGTTGCTTTAGTAATGGCTCTATTTCTGTTGTAGATGATTAAATGATCTGTGTAAACTGTGAGTTTTGTACCTGTGTTCGGTTCAATTTCTTTGTTGAGAAACCAGAGGAATCTTAAGGCTTGTATTTGAGGACACGACTTGAGATGGGAGAAAAAACATGGGAGAAGAGATGAATTAAATTATAGTTCTGCTTGTTTAGCTCCCATTGCAATAACCCACATTGCACTGGCACAAGCTCCAGCTAGCTCATGGCACCAGCAGTGAGTTCCCATACAATATTAATTTGACTGTTTCGCCAATCATTTAGCCAAGTTGATTATTCTGAGTGTTTGAAGAATATGCCTGGGAGATGGTCTGAATCTCACTTCTAGCCTGTACTGTATGTATAAAATAAATATAGTAAACTTCTGATAAATCATAGCTCCAAGGGAAATGGGCTTCAGTTGACGAGTTACAGAATATACTGTAAATTGAATTGACTGTATATTTCTTGGAGAAACGCAGTAGCCAATTGCGCACAGCAGTGTCCCACAAACAGTCATGGATTGAGTGACCAAATCATTTTTTTTCTGGAGGGATTATTATCAGGCGTGTGGAGTAAGGAAACCTGCCCAAGGTTTCGCCCTGTGGGAATCGAACCCAGGTCTCTCACTGGCGAGAGCTCTAACCACTGAGCTACACGACTCCACAAATATTTGTTTTCTGTTTGTGTGCAGATCTATTTTCTTTATATACTGTGTAACAACAATGGACACAAACAATAACTCTTTATCCACACATGCCGGTTCTAAAGAATAGTAGATCTTGATACCATATTGCAACAGTGTATACCAGCCCTGAGGGATGTGGCCAACACAAGACTACAATAGTACAGTACATTGGCACTTCATTTGTCAATTTATGGTTGGACAAGACTATTTCAAGTGCAGGAAAGTGACCCATTGTCTGCAATTTAAGGACAAAGATTTCAGCCTTGAAAATTCTGAAAATGATCAAACCCATAAAATTGTTCATATAAATTTATATAACAGCAGATGTGATCTGAAGGAGACACAAAACTACAAACGCACAGTATAGCACAGTATCTGAAATGTTTACTGTAGCAGGGCAAAACTTTAAACTAGAACAATTCAAGATTTATTAATACACATTTGCGTTGTGTTATTGCGACTTTCAGAAGAGTAGATCTCCCTCATTAAAGCACAGCAGTTAAGAGCTTAAAAACCGCACCAACAAAACTGATGTCCATTTCAGAATTTTGTCTTGTGTGATATTAGTGTTTTTCGAAGAGTTAATAATGCATTGATTTCACTCAATAGTTTCAAACTAAAAGCATTGGGAAAAAATTCCATATGGATCTAGATTTACTGTTAACAAGGGCTCTTAGAGCGTCCGGAATTTGGCAAATACCCTTAAGAACTACAGAAAAAGTTCAGACTGAATTTAACAATTTGCCAAATGCTTCCTCTAAGAGTAAATCTAGATCCAGGTGGGATTTCTCCCTATTTATTTTTAATCATATTATTACTTTCATCATAGACAGTGGAATCCTCAAAGGGTCAAACTGAAGAAACTGTGCAGCTCAGGATTCAATATTGACAGTAATATTGTAATTAAATGGAAATCTTTGACCTATCTTATGTTACACCTCTCCCACCTATCTGCCTTCCCTCACCCTAACACCACCCTTTCCCCATGCTTGGGCCCCGACACCTACTGTTGAGCGCTTTGGGACGTCCTCCCGACGTGAAAGGCACTCTATAAATGTAATTTTGTTGTTGTACACGCAAAGACTTTATACACACTTGGTTTCTGAAATGGAACAATAACCAAACCTGCATCATGTAACAACATTATACTAAAAGGGTCATTTGACTGGTATAGAATGAAGCAATTTTGTAAGCCAGGCACCTTAAATGTATGAATCAATAAAATGCTCACACATAGGAAGATCACACAGAAATATGTTCACAGCATGTGGGAGCTGTTTGTGTGGATACACTTGGGGATTCCACTGTTCGGCCCCTCTTAGAGTACTATGTGCAATCCTGGTCACTGTCTTCAGTAAGGACATCTTGACTTTGGAGAGGCTACAGCAAAGACCAACTAAATTTGTAAATCATGAGAGGGCTATGGGATTAGGCATCTGAGGTATGAGGCAAACCTATGGGATATAGACACATTTGCACTGAAGAAGAGAAGGAAGATAGGAATAGGTGGTCATTCAGCCCATCATGCCTGTTCTGTTTATTAGATCTTGACAGATTTTTAAATCCCCTTTTCCTGCCTTTTCCCCATACCTCATAATAACAGTTGTCATCAGTGGGTGACCTTTCAGCCACTGCCTCCACTCTCTGGAACTCCATCCCTCTAACTTATGCTCTCCCTTCCCACTTTTAAAGCCTGCCTTAAGACTTGCATCTTTTGACCGTGCTTTCATTCGCCTTCCCTCCCACCTTGAGAGCCAGCTGTGAAAAATACTTTTGTTTTTCCTCCCAATGTGGAAGCTGCTCTATAAGTGTATTGTACTATACATTGTGCAGACATATTCAGGAGTCTAAAGGGTATAGCTGAACTGGAACCATAAGATGCTTCACATGGTCATAAAGATCCACTGACTTGTGATCAGAGTGGGGAAGTGAGCAAGCAGACGGTTCAGCTTTAAGCTATGTTTCTATTTTGGCTCCTGAGTGTTGAAATGTGGTGCTGAACCATAGGTGCTCTGTTTTCCAAGCCTTCACCAGTGCCAGACAGAATTGTCCAGCACATCCGGGCATCCTTCAGCCGTGTAAACTGTATTATAATGTGTATTCACCACATTTACATTAGCTCTGGACTTGCAGGAGGCTCTTGTGGCATGACGTTCCAAGGATGTGCAAACGTCTTGAAATCATTGTGAAAGTTTTAGGATGATAGACTTTTGAAACTCCATGAGAAATTAAATTTTTTTGCTATACAAGTAATAATAGCAGAGGCCAGGAGCTGTGCTAGAATATTAGGCATCTTTGCTCTTGGCGTCTTTCATGGTTCTGAAATCTCCAAGGACTGGTGTGTGAGATCAAACAAGATAGCTAATTTTTGCCTTAGCACATCTGCTGAATCAATATTCAGTAATAGTTATCCTCGTATTCATGTTAAAATATTAGAAGAGCTACTTTCTGTAAATTACTTATGAATAATGTAGATGATGGGAGGTTCAGAAGCCTATGATGCCAGCTGGTATCCCTTCAGGTGTCGGCCTGGCTCAGTTAGTAGCACTCTCGCCATTGAGTCAGAAGATTGTGGACTTTGAGTTTATAGTGTGACGCTCCATTGTGGTGCTGGGGTCTGCTGCATTGTTGGAAAGGCCGACTTTTGGTGAGGATGTTAAGTTGCAGCCTGAACTGCCATGAAGCTCCACCATCGGCGGTCAGGCCTTCAGCCCCTCTGCCCCCACCCTCTGGAATTCCATCCTGGAGCACCTCCGCCTCACCCCCTGCCTTGTCTCCTTCAATGGTTGCCTCAAGACCATCCTCTTGGTCATCCTTCCACCCGCATCCCCTTGCCCTCCACCCTTTTTGATTTGAACCCCCAGCTCGGGTGAAAGTCTTTCA